CTATGTTGTCGAAGTCGCAGTATGGCGGTGTTGTATCCTTTAGTGTAACTCCAACGGTATGCGAATTCAAAATCCGCGTAATATAAGGAACGCATGTCCCTCAGTAACAGCACATCAGCATCTACATATATGCCGCCGTATTTATAAAGTATTACAAATCGCACCATATCACTTAAAGACACTGGATTATGATCATAAGTCTGGCCAGAAAATAAGCCAATTGAGGAAAGCTGATCTAAAGTATTCCAAGATTTGAATCTGATATTAATAGGAATAAATCGGAGTAATAAACGCATGTGCGGATTATCTTCAGGATAAATATTATCGTAATCGGAATCCAACCATACATAAAGAGTAGAATAGTTGAGAGGTTGACTAAAAAGGAAAGATTTCATCATTAATGCTAATTTGTCAGTAATCGGACCCTGCCAGAATACGTGAAACAACATTGGAGGATAATCTCGGCTACATATCGGCGGTGGGAAGAATGCATCTTTAATGGAGAGATTGGCAATGACGTAGTCTGATTCATTTTCATTAAGATATCGAAGGCATTGTATAACTGGGACAGTTTTTATGTCACCGCAATGTTTTTCTATGCGTTCAAAACTAGCAGTATGATCTTGGGCAGGACGCCGACGAGTATTGGAAGTGAAGGGCAGAATGGTGCTCGATATAAAGTCTGCGGAGTTATCATCAGACAAAGTAAAGAGTGAGTTATTAAAGTTGTTTCCATAGAACAGAAAAATAGCAGCTGTTGTGAGGATAAATATCATGTGTAAAGGTCTATTAAGAAGTCCTCGAGTATATGTTTCCATTTTTCTTCCATGTGCATCTGCTTTGTGACTGTCCATTTGTAAGAGTAAATCATGATAATAAAGGAATTCTTCCATATTTATGACCCGAAAGTTTGTCGCGCTTTTTTCTATTATTAATTTCTAATTACGTAGCAAGACATTAAGTATCCTGAAACGCCACAAGCCACTACTGGAAATATATCAGCGCAATCAGTCCTCGAGAAAAGCTCGTTAAGTGAAATACACCTACGAACGCTTTCTCTGTTAAAATTAGTAGGGACGAGCCTATTAAGTTAAATCATTTTCCCTCGACTCTTCTTATGATTACTTAAGTAATAAAATCCTTTCAATCAATTATGTCATTCTATTAATTCCCATATATACTGTCAGATTCCCATACGGTCAACTCTCGATAAATATTATACAATTTATAATTAGCCATTAATTAGTAATCATGGTCATCATTTTTTTGAAAAACCATTAGACAATACGTTTTGTAATAAGTCAAATTTATGCCATATGCCAAAACTATATACAGTATATGTGCGTATCGTATTAAAGTCTATTTAATAAATTTTAAATTTTGATTGATTTTAATAATATATTATAATTAAAAATTAATAGCGCAGTATTAAAGCGACGAATTTAGAAAGTCACAAGCAAGTACGTAGTGATCGCAATTGATCAGCTTGACTCGATTTTAGTTAAAATCGAATCAAATAATTAAAAGAATAAATGAGTGATGGATAAACAGATACTGTATATAAGTAAATAAACTGATAATCGGGTAGATAAGTAAGTGAATAAGTAATTGATCAATAGGTTATAAATATGTGAACATATAAATAATAAAAAAAAATTTTTTTTTAGATGCTAGCTCATCCATGCGTCATGGCAACATTTTATTATAATAAAGATCATATCTAAGAATAACTGGGATGAATAATTACCCATACTGTCTAAGGATTTATAGATCAACAAATAGTACATAGAGCTAACTATTTACATCTCACCTCACCAGGATAGAGTAGCTATATGACTGTCTAGTCTAGATACTTCTCTTTACTACAAAAAACTAACTAGATATCAAAAATTTGAAAATCTAGACCTAATATGTCACAACACTCTCTAGGTCCTGAACCTATTAAGCATAGACCCACTGAGTGGTTTATCACTATCTTCTAAGAAGGGGGGTTAATGTATCAAGGATTCACCTAAGGTACTTAGTACCACCAATGTTGAGATCCCTTATGTAGAGCCTTAACTTCACTAGCACTAAAAGAAAATTTTTAAGAGAAGGGAGAGGTGCATATAAATCTTGTCCAATAGATGTTGGTAATTGGTATTATTATCATTTGTTTATGGTGAAGAGATAGGTGTATCAAAATCTTCCAAAAAGATAATACTCAAGTTGTCAGTTTCCATTTGCTAAATAGGAGATAAGGGGGTTGTTGTTTATCAAATATATTCTATTGCAGCTTGTTTTTTCCTGATGACTACTGACATAGGAGATTTTATGTTCTGTGTCTACCTGTATCAAGCACAATAACTTATGATAGATCCCAGGTTCTTATGGAATTGAAGAAATGCATTCAGACACATGAGGTAACCAATAGAAGCTTGATTACTTCTTTTACTAATGTAAGCTCTTTTTGTTTAATCATAGTGTGAAAAACTTTGTGCTACTCAAAATTCAGGGTCAAATTGAGATAGGCAAAATTCTTCAGAATAAAATCAAGAATGAGTACTATAAGAAGCCAATAAATGAAAAGAGAGTGAAAATTGTCTCTTATCATCAATATACTTTTGTATCATTTCTTTACAGTATAAGATGATAACACATTAGTTCCTTTTTTTTCAAAACTTTCTTGCCCTTGGTAGGAAAGGTGTTACTTGACTTTCTGATCACTAGAGATCAAGTTTTTGTTTAAAGAGGAGTATTAACAAAAAGAAAAAGAAGTAGTGATGACTTTTGAAGTTTTTTCAAGTTGGTTTAAAGAGAGTATTGAAACTTTATTAACATAGAAGTATAAAAACTTCTTGTGAACATCTTTTTTGTGTGTAGTCAGAGAATCAACAAAAGAGTGATACAAAAAAAAATAATAATAAATACTAGATAAATAAATAACAAATAAATAGATGAATAAGTAGAAAAATAAGTGAATAAATAGGCAAATATATATGTAAATAAATGAATATGAAGGTAAATAAATAAATAAGAAATGAACAAGTAAATATATAAAGAGATTATAAGCAATTAAGTGAAGTATAAAAAGAATAAACAATCTTATGAATAGATGGACAAGTAAAAAAATAGGTAGATAGATAGATAAATTAATAAATAAGTAAGTGGATAAGCAAATAATTGAGGTAAGTAAATAATAAGCAAATAGGTAAATAAATATATAAGTAAATAAATGGATAAATAGTTAAGTAAATAGAAGTAGGAAAAAAGATAAATAAATAAATAGATACTGTAAATAGACAAGAAAATTGATAAATAAATCAGTAAGTAAATGAATAGATGATTTTTTTTTAAATGTTGTCTTATTCTTGTTTTATTTGTATATTTGTAGCAAACTTATATAGAGTGGCTACCTTAAAGCATACTACTTGTTTTCTAGCAAACAAAACTCAATAGAAGTATCCCCTTTTCCAGGCTATTTACCTTACAGCTTATTGCTATTCTTTGCGAAGAAGCTAACCTGTTAAGGCTGGACTAGTAATAAAAAAAATTTCAAAGATAAAGTGTTGCCTATAATATTTGTTAGCAATTAATTCATAAAATAATTGTCATAATTTTTATTAGTAATATACTGTATATATACATTTATATAAGATAACTGCTTTGGCTCAATAGCTACATTACTTTTTGTATATAAATTAATAATGTATATACTAATATATACTTATATATCTGCTTATATTAGTAATCTATATACATAGATAGCTATCTATATATTTACTAACTATATATTAATTCTACCTTATCAAAAAACCATATGATTCTTTTTTAATTTTTCCTAGACCAGTTTTATTAAGAATAGTCTGATTATTAGTTCATTGAGTTTTCTTCATTCTGGATCCAGATTTTGATTCTTTGAAGTGGTTTGCAGATTTCTTTTTTTATAAAGATCTCTCAACTGTTAAGTCTAAAGTCAAAATATAGCCACATGCTTGAAGTCTTGAAATTAGATAAGATTTTCAGTCAGTTTTTCCTTAATACATATAATTGGTTTAGAGATTTACTCTTTTTGTTATCAGTAGATAGTAATATGGTTCTATTAAGAATAATTCTACTTAATTTCAGATAGTGACCTGATCACAATCTTTGTATAGACTGTCCTATATTATAGAAATCTTGATTTTTCAATAGGAATTAATGAAAACTATTGATTATCTGGATTTGCACTGGATATTCTCGAAAATATCAGTTATATATAATTAAGCCAATAAATAATTTATCAAGTTATATCTGCTTTTTTGGTCAGAAAAATCATATTAACTCTTTAGAGGATTTAAACATATATCTTATAATCTGAACTATAGAGTTCTAATTACTATACTATTGATTCATAGATCAAATAAATGGATAAATAGTTAAATCGCTAGATAAAGTATAAATAAATAAATAATAAATAAATGAATAAATAGTTAGATATAAATAGATAGGTAGAAATATAAATAGAAGGAAGAATAAATAAACAAATGGATAAATAAGTAAATTAATTAATAAATCAATAGTTATAAATATATTATTAGTAATTAATATATTATTATTATTATTATTATTATTATTAATTATATTTTTATTATTGTTGTATATTAATTTAATAAATAACTATTGTATATTAATCTATAATTATAATATATTAAAAAAAAAAAAATTTTTTTAATTTAATTCTTTTATAATAATTTTATTATTTATTTATTTTTTAAATTATAATTGATATTAGATGTGAGTTTTATAAAAAATTAACTTTACTTATGATGGATAATCAAATTTCTAATTATTATATCAATTTTATTTTTTTTTATGCATAAAACAGATCACTTTATTAATGTTTTTAGAGTACATATTACTTGGATTACAAAACTATTTTGCAAACATTTTTCAATGTTATCTGTCTAAAAGTTCCCTTAAAAAAGTCAGTTTATCATCAAACTCTCTGTGCCTTGTTACCTAAGTTATATATGAAACTAACATACCTAGGTTCCATTAGTATGCAAGAAGATATCAAAAATAGGTTTAGTACCAGATATGATGTTAATCAGCAGATTGTAATCCAGTTGTGTATATGAAGTGGGTTGTGATATTTTGTGATTGCTTCATTTGTGATTTGTGTTCTTTTTGTGTAAGATGTTATTATTTTTGATCTGTTTATAAAAATATCTGTATCTGTCTTTCTATATATTGAAGGTAATAAATTTGATGTTGTTGATTAAACCTTTAATGGTTTCAGCTATTCTATTTTGGTTCAAATGTTGTGTTATAAGGTTGGTTATACTCTTGCTGATCTCTCTTCTGATGAGGGTATCCCAAGTGTTATAGTTGTCCAGGTTGATTAAGGAATCAGTCTTGATGTTGGTATTGATAAAACTGTCCTTTCTTGCTATTATTTCTCTATTAATAATATTGGCTATTAGTTTTTTGATGTTTAGGCCATGTTGTTTACATGAAAAGGGATGTGCATTGTCTTTTGTATCTATGCATATAAAGCAGACATTAGTCACATATGTGCATAGATATCTTTTATTGAGAATAAACATGGTAGGTAGTTCCTTGTTCCATCGTTTGATGGAAAATGTTCTGATTCTATGATTCCATGTGTTGCAGTGTGATAAGTTTATGTCGAAGGAGTGAAGGTTTATTAGTAAGTTTTTCCAGTCTATTTCTTTTTTGTTCCTATCTGTAAGGT